TATGACAGAAATGGTTATTCCAGCTTTCCATAGTAAGCCTCTATCCTCACTAGTGGAAGGAGCGCTTCAGGCCTGCTAAGCAAGAAATATGTCGAAAACAGTGACCAAATCGCAGACCCCTTGTGATTAAATTCCTCTAGATAATGCCCCAATAAAATTGGCCTCGCCATGGAGGTGGAGTATGGTGAGGTGCTGCTACATTTTCACTTCAAGTGATGGCAATACACAAAGGGCCAGCGGCACAAAAGCAGGGGCACCTACCATGGCCGAGACTTCGTGGTCAGCCTGTAGGAATTCCACAATCTTGCTCTTGTGCGCGGGCTCCACACGAGCAAAGAGTTTTCCCTTGCGCACCGCCATGCGTTTTTCCTCCTCTGAGAGGTCATCAAACTCACGTCCGGTGAAAGATTTGCCGGTCGTCTCCTCAGTCTCCGCAAATAGTCCAATGCGGCGGCAGATGGCCTCAGCGGTGGCCTTGTTGTCACCAGTGATGACAATCACGCGAATGCCGGCCTTGGTGCAGAGGCGGATGCTCTCAGCCACTTCGGGTCTCGGTGGATCCAACATACCCACTATGCTCACCAGGGTCATGTTTGCCTAAAAAAGGCGGAGGGAGCAAAATAACAGGAATGAAAAGAACGCCGAACCAATGATAGGCGGAAAGTTTACAAAAGGGCAGCATAAGTCATACAATTCCGCATAAAATTTCCTTTATTCAACTGGCCCATTAGTGAAGGACTCAGCGGCCTTGGTGACATCTAGACCTACGACAGCAAGAGCAAGTTTTGAGTACGGCCGACGCTCTAACCACCTGAGCTACGAGACCTCGTCGGGAGCCATGCTTTTAATCACGCTTGGGGTAACCTGAACTAAATGTGACTAAACTGCGCAGCGAATCTGTACAGCCCACCCATATGAACGATGACTTAGAGAATTGTTTCACACAGCAACTGAAACAGCGTATGCATCAGCTGCTTCCAAACCCTAATCTCCTGACGCCTAAACCGCTGTTGATGCATCACGACCTTAAATCTGCTCCTTGTCTTTTCGA